GGGGGGGGCAGGGGGTCAAGTTAGACGAGGCAAAAACTGGCTCTAGAGACACTTTTCTTATTACATATAGATTCAACATAACTTAAGCTACATACAAGCCACATTGATCAAACACGCCGGTGCCCGAGGGCCGGCGGATTAGGAACAAGTAGTTTCCTGGATTGGTCTACACAAGAGAGGAGCGTACACCAAAAAGCCCACACAACAACGGAGTTTTCGTCCCATCAACGGGTTGCCAGGCTTTTTGCCGCCGGGCTTTTTGCCGCGGGCGGCGCGCGCCAGCGCGCGGACGGAGATGGACCCCGAGCTGCGTGGCGTGCTCGATGCCCTGGAGAAGGCGGGAGGAGGACCGGCCTGAAGGGTCCCGAAGGTTGGAGGGTTTGTTCATTGCGATGATTTCGAGATTCTTGCACTAGATGTTTCAAATGGAATTTGAATAGCTGTTTCAAATGTGATTTGAATGGGGGATGGCTTTCGTGCTCGAGTCTTTTGAGGGGGAGAATAGGTGTCATGGCGGAGCCTGGAGACATTGTTTATTTTAGGTGCCGTGGATCTCAGGGAAGCATCCCAGTTCGGGCGACGGTGCTGACGATTGAAGGTGACACGTTGGTAGCTGCTGTGCCCCATCTCATAGCTGGAGGCTTGCCACACGGGGCAGTTGGGGGTGACAAAGGTTCGCGGTGTGGCTTTTTGAAAGTGCCGACTAACGCAGTGACAACTTCCAAGCCTGAAGGGTGGACAGCATCTACGGGTGGAACCGCTCCCAGTTTTGAGACAGCGCTGGCCATATGGGAGGCAATGACGTTAGAAGAGCCTCTCGAGAGCAGCGAAGTCGAACAAGGGAAGGGAGCCACTTCCAGCAAGACTCTTCCACCTGGAAAAAAGGGACCCCGGACTTTGGAGATGGACCTCAAGCAGATGGGCAAGGAACTGTGGGGCGGACTCGAAAGCGGCAGCGAAGAAGAAGACAGTGGTTCAGAAGAAGAGGACGCCTTGCCAAGTCGCTCGGTGAGACACCTGGCTCCTGGCGGAAGCAGTCTAAAGCCCAAGACCAAGAAGGACAAGAAGAAGGAAAAGGAAACTCATGCAAGCGAACAACTCCAGCAGGCCATGATGCAAGGGCTGGCCAGCGGCAGCAGCCCCAGCGAAATGATGCCCTTGTTGATGATGAACTACCTCCTCGAGCAACAAAAGCAGGGCTCTCGCCGCAAGACGCGGAAAGACCGGGAAGCTTGGGACCCACTAGATGGTTCTTCATCCGAAGAAGGAAGCGAGCGAGAGCTCAGGGCAGACAGTGGCATGAAAGCAGTCGTAGCCTTGAACCGACTCCACCGCCGAGTAAAGAAAAGTCCCAAGATGATCATGCAGGAGTTCGAAAAGGAGCTGATCGAGGAGCTGGGCGTGGTCGAAGGCCAAGCTTGGTCAATCAAGGATTGGTTGAAGAAACAGCCTTGGGGAAAATTCAAAGGTTTGTACCGCAGTGCGATGATGGACGCTGCGGCCTACGAGCTGGTGAGGAATGGCGACCCCCAAGCAGCCGGAGCCCAGTTGGTGCAGAACATGAAAGCGAAGCTTCAATGCGTCCTCCAACAAGGGGAGTGGGCCAGTGCATGGCAACTCACCGGACTACCGGACCCCTTGTCCCGTCGCGAATGGGCAGGAACCAAGGAGGAAATGGCGATCATCAGCGGCTACATGAACTCCGTGCACAAGCTCAAGAAAAGGATGAAGGAGGCGAAGGAGGCGGGAGGAGCCGGCCAGGACGAGGCCGACTAGCGGGTTCACATCTGCGCATCGGGGGGGGCGGAACATGTCAGTCTGACCGCTGTTATCCAAACTTCCCGGTGCCAGATGATGATCCCACCAGAAAAATGCATGGTCACGATCCTTGCTCACGGGGTTTCTTTCCCTGGGAGCGAGGCCGGAATTCAAAGTTCATTAGATACTATGTCTGGCAGAAGGGCGCTCACAGTACCCTACCGGCTCGGGCTGGTAGCGATGACACTTCACTTTTTCCAGCTGCACTCCCTTACCCAGAAGCCTTCAGTGCGGAGGGTAAGGCAGTCGTCGGGCATGAAAGGATCACTTTGTTTGCAAAAGCCTTCCTAAACTTTTGGGTTTGTTGGAGCAACTTTGTGGTGCTGGGTTGTCCTGACTGTCGGAATGCGACTGAGGCGCGGGTAGGCTATAAGCAACTGGAGGACGTGAGGTCCTGCGCTGATGGCTTGCTAGGCGAAGTGAAAGAATTCGTTAAAGACTTGTTTTGTGTAGAGGTGATGCAGATGGAGGGGGGAAGACAGACTTTGGAAGAAGCCCTCCAGATGCTTCAGGTGAGTCATGCATGCTATGGTGCCCCAGTCACCTCTGCAAAAGCAGTGTTGGAGAAGGTGAGCGCAGCAATTCCGGTTCAGGCTGAGAGAGTTGCAATCCCGGAAAAAGCCGGACTTGTGGACCCACTAGCATGGCTGCCCCCACATCGCAAGGCAGTCTTAAGTGATCTCAGCCGGCTTCGGCGACCGGAGCATTTGTGGAGAGAGGTCGTGCCAGCTTGCCATCGCGTCCCTGTGTCCGAAGAGGCACGGCTGATGGCAAAATTGTTAGCAAACGGAATGGTTTCGATTTTCCCCGAATCTGACCTTCCCAAAGACTCCCAGGGACGATTGCTGACAGGAGGCTTCTTTTGTGTAAAGAAAAACAGTAGTGAGGACCGTTTAATTTTTGATCGCCGCCCCGAAAACGCGACCATGGACCGGTTGGATTGGGCTAAGCTTCCGGCCGGAGCTTGCTTCTGTCGAGTTCTTTTGGAGCCAGATGAATTTTTACGCGGCTCTGGAGACGACCTGCGCAATTTTTACTATTCACTGCGACTCCCTGAGAACTGGAAGAAGTACAATGCAGTAGGCCGTAGGTTACCTTCCTTTTTGGTCAAGCAATATGGGGGCGATCCGAACGTTCCTCATCGAGCTGTGATGCGTGTGTTAGGCATGGGTGATACCAACGCATGTGATATTGCACAAGGGATGCATGAGTTTGTCTTGGAACAATTTGGCTTGCTGGGAAGTGAGTACAAGTTGGTGTATGGACAACATGTGCCGCAGGGCAACCTCCTTGAGGGTGTTTACCTGGACGATCTTTTGGTAGTTCACAAAGTGAAGGAAGTAGCCCCCATACCTTTACACAGTCCCTTCGTTGCCCCGGTGCCACAGGATACAGATCCGGATGTGGTGCATGTCGCAGCTGCCGAAGCTGCGTATGCGGCAGCGGGCCTGGAACGGGCCACCCACAAGAGCTTTCGGTTTCAGACTTCCTTCAAGGCCTGGGGGGCTGAATTGGAGGGCGTCAAGGGCACCGTAGGTGCCCCATTGGCCATGAAGCAACAAGTGTGGTGGTTATGGAACAGAGTGGTCTGTTTGGGCGAGGCTACAAAGTGTATTCTTCAGAAGCTTCTGGGCTATACGTGTTTTATTTTCCAATATAGACGGGAGTATTTTTCTCTGATGCATCACATCTTCAAGTTTGTCGATGGTATGGCAGATGACAGTGTAATGCGCATCCCGTCGCACATTTTGGATGAAATACGTTCAATACAGGTGCACTTTCCTTTTGCCAAGTGGAACATGCGAAGATGGCTGGATCAGTCAATTTTGGCAACAGATGCAACCCCCACCTCTGCGGGAGCCACCCGTGCGCTTGCGTCTGCCCGCCTTGCCCAGGAGCTGTGGAAGCGTTCTGAGATTCGCGGGGAGGCAGTACGCCTTGACCGGAGTGACGGGGGAGTAGAGCTTGGAGGCCCGGAGGAACCCAAGGAACCTTCGCGCTTTGGAAGTGCTATTGCAGAGTGCTTGCCTTGGACAGTCACAGCTAGCTACACGTTCAGGCAAACGTCACATATCAACCTTCAGGAATGTAGAGCTTTGAAAAAGGAGATCATCCGGGCCTCAGCAGACCCTTCGAAGAAAGGGAGTGTGCAGATCTGTCTTAACGACAGCCGGGTAGTTGTTGGGGCTTTTGCTAAAGGCAGGTCGTCTTCCTTTAAGTTGAATGGTACACTGAGAGGGCTCCTTCCGTATTTGACAGTCAGCAATATTGCTTTGGCTTTGCTATGGGTGGAGACGGAGTCCAACCCCGCCGACTACCCTTCAAGCTTCAAGCCTTTGCCTCGGCGCCATACTCCGCCCAAGTGGATGTGGAAATATGACCTGCAGTGGTGTTTCCCCCCAGGGCTTGAGGTCTTCCCAGGCGCAAGGTGTCTAACAGAAGCGTGTTTGAAAGGTGGTATTCCTATGCACAGAGCGGTAGACGATCTTTGGGGGTTAGATGTCTTTGACAGCTGGATAGATGAACTAATCCTTTCTGGCCGGGTTGGCTTCGTGTGGCTGGCGCCGCCATGCTCTGGAAGAGAGCTAGGTGATGCGTTGTGGAAGCGGGCTCTTGCTTTAGCGCAACTGGCCATTTCGGTGGGTATTCCGTTTTTCCTTGAGCGACCTGCTAAAAGTAAAGCGTGGTTGATGGACGAAACCCAAGCTTTCTTGAGTCGGACAGGACATAGGCTCCATCAGGTACAGTGGTGTGCTTACGCAGACCATGAACGTAATGGTTGCCCTGTGCCCAGACCTTCAAAAATTTACAGCTCAGCCCAATGGTTGCCCTTCATCCTCCATCAATGCCCCGGAAGTCACATTCATGGACCCCTGCCACGAGGTTCTTGGTCCAAGATAGCAGCGTCTTATCCCTTGGGATTCTGTCAACTGTTTGTGCAAGCACTACGGCGGTGGCATGGTGCGCCTTCGAAATATAGGGCTGTCTCGGCCCTATCGACGAAGCTTGCTTGAAGCGGGCAGAGCTCTGTTGCGGAGACTAGCGCAGCGGGGTTACTCCGTGACAAAACAAACACCTGCGCAGACACTGGACCGGATGTTTGAAGCAGCAGTGGAAGATGCACATCGGGAAGGGGTCAAACTGTATTGGGTTACTTTGGGAGTGGTTGCGCTTCAACGTGCATTTAACGTTTCTGGTACGCTCTTGAAGGGCGCATGGCGTGCCATACAAGGTTGGCGTTCTCTTCAACCTGTTCGTTCTCGGATCCCGATCACAGCTCAGGTCTTGTACGGTCTGTTTGTTTTTGGGTTGCGCGAGGGCTGGAGAGAAGACGGTTTCCTTCGTGCGCAGATTTGGGGCTGTGTGCTGGCCTTATGGTTGGGTTTCGCTTGCCTCCTCCGGCCTGGTGAGATTTTGCAATTGCGTGTGCGCGATGTTTCTTTCTCGACTGCAAGCAGTTCCACGCTATTTGACCCCGGAATGGTACTAGTGGTCCGAACCCCGAAAACCAGAAGGGTGTGGCACAAGCAATTTGTCCTTTGTTCTGACGTGCGGTTGGAACGCTGGCTTCGCTGGTGGCTACAAGGTCTTTCTCCTCGGGCTCCATTGTTTCCCTTTTCCAGATATATTTGGACTAAGCACTTCACTCATCTGTTGCAACAACTGGGGCTGCAAGACATAGGGTATACTCTGGGCTCAGTCCGAGCGGGCGGTGCCACCCATCATTTCAGACAACACGCCAATTTAGGTCAGTTGCAATTTTTGGGACGGTGGTCGTCAGCAAGCACCATGCAATTTTACCTGCAGGAGGCATTCTCAGCGCATGTTGAAGCACGTTTTTCAGCGGCAACGTTGGAGAAGCTTAATTTGTTAAACCAGCATTCTTTTCTTCTCAGTTCCCCTCCAATCCAGTCACTCTTTTCTTTGTTTGGTGCCGGGGCCCATGTGCGAGCGCGACGAGATCGCCCCGCTGGGAGCCTTGACAGCAGCAGCGAGGGAGGCAGCCAACGGCGGTGACTGCTACTGCCTTTGACTTCTGGAGTGGGAAAGCCGCTGCAATGGCCGCCTCTCGCGAGCACTCTTCCCGGCCAACGCCCAAAAGAATCCGGCGCTTGCCAAAGAACAAAGATGTGGACTCAAACGTTTTTCGGGGCCCCCAGGCCAATAGTGTGCCAGGTAGTTCTAGCACGGATGGCTTCCTGGCTGGAGAAGTTGCAAAAACTATGAAACTGGCAGTGGATGAATTGAGCCAAGATGACCTGAAATCGTTGGAAGATCCCAGCTTTCGCGAGCAAGCAGCTCGCTGGCGCAGCGGTACTGGGTCCCGCCGGATCAGTGCAGCGCTGGCTCGGTGCATGAACTCTCTCTACAGTATCAAGCCTGGTTGGGCTAGCCAGGCCAAACCATGTGACGCCGATGCTCCTTTAGCAGAACCCATGCCGCTGCGCGGAGAGGCCCCTTCACGGTTCTGGACTTGGTACCGTTCTTTGTCCCCCTGGTTCCACAGAATCATGGCTTACTGGAAGACAGTGTGGCTACTTGTGCTGCTCCTCCTCTTTCCCAAGTTGGCAGCGGCCCTCGTGGCTCTTGTGGTTCGCCTCGTGGTGCGTTTCAGTGTTGCGGTTTTCTTTCGCGTGGTCCATGAGCTTTGGCAAGAGCTGGACGACGTGCTTGGCCATTTGGGCACTATCACCACTGGCATGGAGCATGCCTTAGTTCAATATGTGGAAGCTTTAGTGACTGGTGGGCCTCCGGCCCCTCCGCCGCTCTTGACAGCTCCTGTGCCGGTGGCTTCGGACAACACTGGGGCTGGTCAGCCCCCCCCCCAGCCCCCACCCCAGCAACAAGTGGTGACCCACCTCTTGCTGTTGCTCAACTTGGGCGTGCAGCTTCGTGGCCACTGGGCAGGTGGGATGGGAGCTCCGTAAGCTTTGAGAGAAAGCTCACTTCTTTGATCCAAC